AAATTCGCCTTTTCAGATATGTTGAGAGGGAAAATTCTAACTTTCTTGGCAAACTAGAAAGGTTTTTAAGCAATTTGATACAAATTTCTTGGCTTAACTATGCGAATCAAATATTTTACAATGTTACAAAATATGCCTATTTTTCAATTTTGGAGACGTTGCGACGGTCCCAAGAGACTGGGAAACAATTATGGCCTCTAACGCAGTCAGAAAATTATTTCGAAACAAACCAAACCTAATTTCGTTCTTTCCTAAGTAAAGTCTTTCTGTTGACAGAGTTTCAGGCAAAATTATTTTTGACGCGAAAATGACCGGGTGGAAATAAGAGAGACAGCCTCTTAAGTATTAGTTACGAGCCGCTCCTTTGAAATGTTGACATTGCCGATGGCTGCAGTAGGATTACTGTTTTCATAGCAACTCTAAAGAGAAAAACTACTCTTAAAAACATTTGAGCTAAAATTATTTACCTTTGAATGTTCCAACGGACCAGTTTTTTATTTGGTTGGTTCTTTCAGTGTCTCTCTACCAAGATAGGTTCCAACTCCGACTGCCTCAGAGTTGCGAAACGGGATGACGGCGTTGCTTGTTCTTTGTTTTCTTTTACTTTTTGTTCTTTTTGGGGAGTTAAAAACTCCATTCTCAAAGAAAAAGTAAGGCATTTCTTCCTCATCAGCTTGCTCACAATTTTCCATGTTTGGCGTACATTGCCACCGAAGTCTTAACTAGTTAAAATCTTAAAGTGAAAAGATCGCGGAGAAAATTTTTTTCTCGAGGGATTTGTTTGCTGACGTCATGACCGTACACAATAGGAATATGAAGCACGCTCGCGCAATTTAATTTCATGAGACAAATTTACTAGCTATGTTATAAAATTCCTTTTATCCCTAGTCTTTGCAGTTTTGAGGAATTTTGACTTTAGAGATCTCAAGACTCCATCTTTTTTGACATGGCATTTATTAAGAAAATGAGATTTGAATTTATCTTTTCATCTTTCTCCTCATTAAATTACTCGATGAATATTAATGACTGACGAGTCATGATTTCAGGGACATTATCAGAATTAGTAACAGTGTACGCGTTGCAGTTTGTCAAAGCGGCTATTGGTGCATCATTGTCTAATAAGTACTTATTATTGAAGTTGGAAAGCGATTTTCAGTAAAATCATCCATGCTAAATCAGCGACCGAAAGTATGAAGAGATATATGAAAACAATCCTGACGTCATTATGAACTTGTACCTTTTTGTTACAACGGACAATTTGAGTGTATAAAATGACAGATTTGGTGTATTTTTTTCACGGAATTGAAACCCTTTGTAATTTTTTACCATTGTTGCCAAGCCATTTATCGAATTAAAAGACTATATTAGGAATTTATAGAGACAGGTAATCTTGGGAGATGGTAGCATGGCTTGTTGACATTACACCAGTTACAACGACTAACCTTTTATAATGAACGAAAAAAATTAATGAATTGATAATAAAATCATCATCGCTCCGTACTTTTGCTAAGATAGGAAATATTTAGGGCAAATAAAAAAAAATTATTCTACCGTCACATTGGGCTGGGCTATATCTATACCAAACATGAAAAAAAACTGATTGCGAAATAACTTGGATTAAAAATAGGTTTGAGAACTACGTAGTTTGCTTTTACGGGAAATCGGAAGGGGGTGTGGTGTTAAAATAAAATGGACAATGCGATCCTTAACTTAGTGATATTTTTACTTTAAGTCTCTCTCCAGATCATTGCGCCTCCAATAAACCAGTCTGTTACCGAAGGATACCCTGTCAACTTTAGTTGCGTAGCCTCAGATGTTCCAAAAGTAACATTTGTCTGGGATTTTAATAATGGGGACCTGCCATCTGGTATCCATCAGACTGATCAAGAAGGAGAGTCACTGCTGGAATTACCACGTGTCACGAAAGAGATGGAGGGGAATTACACGTGCACAGCAAAAAACAAAGAAATTTCAACTAGTTCCTCTGCAGCACTGAGTGTTCATGGTAAGTTTAATAAAAAAGATTGTTATTAATTAGCATGAAGATGAATATGAAAATGAAGATGTTGGAGATGAATGTGGAGATAAAGATAAAGACACAGGTGACGGTGGTGGTGAGAAAGGAGGAAAGCAAGAGTTCAAGAGTTGTGCAGTTAAACTGCTTCCAGACCACACATAGCTTCAATTATGAACTGATTTGTACAGACAAAAAGACTAAAAGCTGCAATAGGTATATCATCTTACGGATTTACGTCGAACCAATTTGATGACCTGCTCCTAGTTGGCTTGTTAGCTCAACTGGTAGAGCGCTGCACTAGTATCGCAGAGGTGAGTGGTTCGAATCCCGTACAGGCCTGAATTTTTTCAAGTCTGATTTTCACTATTGCTTAAACAGTGCTCTTTACTGCGAGGATCGTGCACAAAATACGTAGGTATAATTATAATTGAAGTTTCATGTCACTGAAGTTAGAACCTCCTTACATTTGAGTAAGCTCAAGAGTCAATACGGGCGAAATCAATCCTAAGTGACAATGTTCCTGAGCCTATTTCATTACGTAGAGATAAGATTTGTAAGAAATTATTTGAAGGAATCCTCTATATATTTGAGTCAACTGAGTACATCTGGAAAGATTAATAAAGCAAGGAAAAACTATAAGTAATGGCGCTATCGTCTGTTGATTAATACGAAATACTTCAAAATATGCTTCGAACATCTTAGCTGGAACACTTTGACGAAGATAGACCTCTGATACAGAAAGATCCAAGAGGTTCAGAGTAGAGTAGAAGGATTTGAAAAGGAAAGCGAAACTCAAAAGCAATTTCTGCGTATGACAGAAAAATCTTGACAATGAACATTGTAATGGAAACACAAAAAACTGCTTCCATTCCTGAACGAGATATGCGGTGAAACTGCGATCAAATGTTCGAAAGAATTTCTTTGGATAGTTACCTCTCTCACATCTATCCGCAGAGTTAAATTACGGAACCTTTAACTCGTAATGAGACTAAGTCAATTAATTGTTCAAAAAACATTATTTAAAGGCCAGAGCTGGATCGGTTCATTTCCATATTATTGTTTCTTAGTTAGTTTGTTTTGTGTTGATACTGCAGCTGTAATTTCAAAGTGACATTACGGTTTTAATCAATTTTCTCTCTCCCAATGTAGGTAAAGCCTCTGCACAAGTTGTTGCAGAGACATATCAAACACTCATAACGGGAGAAGTCCTCACATTGACCTGCAAAGTCAATGTGGAAACCATAGGCATAACTTGGAAAAAAGATGGAGAATCCTTAAAAGAACGAGCACTTATAGATACCCGATTAGATGAGGCAAAGAGTACACTTGTTATTACTAAGGTTGTGGAAGAGGACAGTGGTGAATATTCTTGTGAAGCAAGTAACAAGCTAGGAACTGTGGCTCGCTCTTCTGTGACATTGGACGTTGAAGGTAAACCAGTGTGACTGCAAGGCCATTGCTGTAAACTAAAACCTTTTTATGTTTCTAAAATTTTCCATTGTTGTTGTTGTTGTTTTCTTTTTCATCTTCTTGAAACTAGAATCATCAAATCAATACGAAGTTAGAAACAATAGCAGCATCTCATACGTGGAAATGACTATATCATTTGTTATGATGACATTTTTTATATTTCGGGTACTTTTCCTATTTACATTTACATTTACAAGGAGTTTCTAACCACTTTAAAAGCTGTCTCACCAACAAAATAGATAAATAATTAAATAAAATACCTTTAAAAAAGAATCGGCATATTTTTTGGACATCAGAGTTACCCCTTCTAGGGGTACATCAGACATCAGAGTTACCCCTTCTATGGGTAACTCTGATGTCCAAAAAATATGAATATGCCTTTCGGTGCATGTCATAGTCATTGGAGGTGTATCGTATTTGTCCTCACAGAACTACCCACTGTCAAAATATTTCCAAAAGAGCTACCTTCCATATTGGAAGGAGGGAAACTCAAATTGACTTGCCTGTTCCAAAAAGCAAAGAATGTAAACTGGAAAAAAGAAGATGGTGCCACAAACATTCAAAACGCAATAGTCGAAATCGAAAAAGGGAAATTAAGAGCAATATCACCATATCAGATACTGAGCCTGGTGATAGCGGTAAATATTCATGTGAGGCGTTCAACTAAGCTGGCAGTAGATCTGCTGATGCAATGGTAAACATAATGGCACGAGGGAGACTCGCTGGTCAGTGTTTAAGTCACATTGTATTTTGAAGTCATTTCCTATTGTACTCTATTGGATGTTTGTTACCACCAATCCATCTCTCTCTCCTTCCATCGATGGCAAAATATTATGCTTCTTCCTTCTTTTCTTCTTATCATCTCTCTGCCTCATTCTGCCAAGACGAATAGATAAATAATTCTACTCCTTTAACTTTATACCCCGAGAATTAACGACACTGGTTCCTTTGTTAATAAACTAAATTGCTTCCTACATGGAATGGGCCAGCCCCAGCAGCTCCTTCCAGCAGTTCCCTGGAGTGGTACTACATTGGCGGACCTGTGGCTGCTGTAATTTTCCTGCTGTCTCTCAATGCATACATCAAAAAACGCCGTGCGACAGGTAAAAGGAACTTTAAAGAGGTGCCATAGGTTACCCGATGAAAACAAGATGTTTTGATACGGCAATTGTGAACTTTTACATGTCAATGTTTAGGTTTCTAAATGAGCTATTTTTATCAGGTCACATTCTGCATTTTCAGAACTGACGTGGAAGGTCAGTTTTCACTCTCCGCAAGTCCATTAATTAGCTAATAAAATGACATGAAGGTCGTAAATTATATCCAGTTAGTTACCATGGCAAGCCACCTTATTCCTTTTTAATTTTAGTCATAGTCTGAGATAAGTTAAATATGATTTGTTAAACGAGTCGTAGGCTTTGACTGAGTTAATGACGAAGCCATTTCTTTCATCTTTTTCTACATATTCTTGGAAAAAAGCTTTGCAAGAGGTGCCCAGCAGGTTGAGGTTAGTATATTGTCTTTGGTTACTTTGAGTATGTTGTTATATCTGAGGTTTTCAACTCTTGAAGAAATCTGTGCAGAGAATTGTTAACCGCCACTGCCGAGAAAATTGTGTCTTATTTTAGCTTGCTCCTTCTTGTAGATACATTTTAAATTTTACTTTTTTACTCGATTGTAGACCGATCCCTATATTTAGATAACACTTCGGTTGGCGTTGGTTAGTGATTTACTAACCCTTAGACAGGCACGTAAGAGGCACGGTATTCAAATGACGTACAATGCAAAACACTAAGTCGGCACAAGGTATCTTCAGATTCCACACACTGTATTCATTCAGTGTTTTTTAAAAAATCCAATCTCTGGCACTGGAATGATGTGGCACAGTCTCAGTCAGTAAACTAGTAACCAAATTTCACCTATTTCAACAATTTTCCATAGGCAAACGAGAATTTTACGACGGGCTTAATATGAATTATTTAATAGACACTCGCATGGATGCCTTTTTTATATACAAAAAGAGCTAGACTCAGAGACATAAGGAGAGGTAGGTAACAAGCATAGTTAAATTAAAGCCGTGTTTCCATCTGCAATTATTCAGTGAAGAGCAAGATGAGGTTGGAATGGGTCAGGTAAACGCAAACACGGATGAATGGGAGATTGCAGTTGACCGTCTGAACTTTCGTGAGCCTATTGGCAGAGGGGCATTTGGCTCAGTGTGGCGAGCGCTACTGGGTCGGTCCCGTGGCAGACGAGGAAATCGTACAGTCGCTGCCAAGTGTTACCTGCGTAAGTACATTTTTAATATCTCTCGTTATTGAAAGCATTGATTGAAGTATCCTCAACAATCAGAACGCGCGTTGAGTTCGACTTATGTTATGAAAGCAGATAAAAGTAGAAACTCCTACTGATAATGATTAAAGTCTCACTTTAATTTCATCCCACCTTCAAACACGTTCTCTCCTTTTGCGGTGGTGGTCGTTGGTCAATATTTGAAGGCAAATTTCCCCTGACGTCGAATATTTTGCAATGTTGCCCTCTGAGAAGCTTTTGACGGAAAATATCTTGTTATGCAACCTCAAAGAGGCCAAGAGGGCGTGCAGTTTTGGATAGACAAAAACTCGAACCATATGTCCATACATGATGTACATGACCTAGCTTAACCAACTGATTTAAAACTGAATCACCTCATTAAGTAAATTAAGTTGCGGACCGGTCATAAGTCGTAAAAACGAAACAGAACTGATCATTAAAAACAAAACCATAGAAAAAACAAAACAAAAAAAAAAACAAAAAGCCATTAAAATTTAATCTTGGAAGAAGTAACTTTATATAATACAATAAAATTGAACAAAGGATTTATTAACATTTAATTGGTAGAGACGATGAATCTAGTTGAAGAAATATCATACAAATGAAATATCATACAAATGAAGAGAAACGTCAACTAATTTTTTTTCTTAGCAAACATGAATGAGTTTTTGAGTTTTGATTTAGATGTGTAGACCTTATGCACTGTAACATGTGCTAATTATTTAACATCAAATATTCAACGCGTTAACCACAAAATAAATCGTTTCTATGAATACATCATTGCATTGTTTGTTTTTGTGGTTTCCTAGCAATCTCTGGAGAGGAAGGAAGGAAAGCCCTGCTGAGAGAGATCGAGTTATTGAAACTTTTTGGAAGAATGGGCCATGAGAATGTTGTTAAGTTCATTGGCTGTGTTACAGTTGGAGGTAATCAGCTGTTGTTATGATTGGAATCCGCTTAGTCACAGTAAGGATAAAAGCATCACTGAGGTGAACTGCTGGTAGAACAAATTCTGTTACAACCATAGTGAGCTAATTCAAGAAATATTTACATTTTCGTGTGGTTTATTCAGTCTTTTTGCTAGCTCTGTAACATTTACGTAGTAATGGTGATAAAAGGTTCGATTTAGGATGACATGTCTCTGCCTATTTATCTTCGTTCTTTTTTGTATGTCTTTCAGTTCGTCTGTCTGTCCGTAGTTCTCTATGTGCCGTATGTGTCTGTTTGTCTTCGCATTTCTTTCCACGTATTTACTTCTTTCTATTTTCTTTGTCTCTACTTTGATTAATAACAGATAGAAACTACCATATGATTAAAATAAGTATATTAAATTTAGAACAATTTAGAATTTGGAACGTCTTCTCTGTTTCCTTCATATTGATTTGCCACCGCTTTCTTTTTTAACTTATTTAGCTCAGCCAATACTTATCATGGAGTACCTGTGGCGAGGTGACTTGCTGGGTTACCTCAGAAAATCCAGGGGGGTTTTCGACCACTATCATTGTGGGGTCGGAAGGGTCGACCACTTGACAACATATGACATGGTGCTGTTCGCTAAACAGATCGCAAATGGTATGACTTTTCTCGCGTCTAGAGGGGTAAGTGCTCAAACTCCTCTTGGTTTGCATTTCGAAAGTCGATCGCCATACGACTAAAATGATGAAGCACATTGGAATCATTGAGTCACACGAAAATAGTCTGAAACATACCTCTTTATATTCCTTTTCTCCTTTGAAATGTG